GTGATTCAATCACTCACGAGCCTCCACAGAGGTGCTTGTGGAGAAGTGAGCGGAACACGAACAATGGTTCCAGGTTCTCGAGGAAGCCTATCGAGGGACGGTGAGCTTGTCCAGAAGCTGCTGGATCAAGAGATTCAGCCAGCTACAACATCTGTCGCCCACCCTCCCATTGCACTGCAGAAAGTGGGGTCTGAACGGAAATGTTCCTGGACCTATTTGAGAGGATAGCAGAGGCTTTTGGCTGGGCGCAGGCCAAGTGGCCGGTAAAGATCATCCCACTGTTATCGAGCAAAGCCCAGATTACCATTCAGCAATTACCGGTCCAAAATCTCCCATATCTCCTAGATCACAGGTGTCAAACTCAGTTCCAAACGAGCCGCAGCTCTGCACAGTTTAGTTCCAACCCTAATTAAACACACCTGATCAAACTAATTGAGTCCTTCAGGCTTGTTTGAAACCTACAGATAAGTGTGTTGGAGCAGGGTTGGAACTAAACTGTACAGGGCTTCGGCCCTCCAGGGATTGAGTTTGACACCCCTGTCCTAGATCATCAACCTTTGTGTGCTCAGCAGTTCTGTGACGCCTGTAACAGACAGATGGTGCAGGACTGCTAGGGCATCAACCAGATCATGGACGCCGTGGTGCCGGAGCAGTTCAATGCCTGCCTTACCTCCCGGACAACAGAATAGGTCCAAAGCCACCAGCCCAAGAAGCTCAACAGGGCCATCCAGCCAGCGGAGGACTATCTGGTAGCGAGGTCAGCAAACAAACCATAGCAGAAACCAAACCTGCTGTTCCTCTCTCTCCCTTCTCCTGTCCCTGTTCCAGAGTGCAAGGGCTACCCAGGCCAATGGCCAGAAAGTGGTGGATGGGGCCGAGCAGCCAAACATGCAGCAGCCATGCTACACAACCCGTTGGTGTGGGTATAAGAATGGCAGAGCGGTGTCACGCTCTCCAGCCGCATCCAACACAGAACCTGGCCTCTCTCAGACTCGAACAATTGGTCCTGCTTACCCCAGGGGTGCGGTGGGAGGTCTGGGCCGGTGTGTTGGAGATGCTGGGGCGAGGCTCATGTGCCTGGGAACTGCTCCGCTATAGTGATAGGGGCCCTGATTCAAGTCCCCGACATACCAGCAGCAGTCCTCGGTTGTGATGGGCTATGACAGATACCAGTCCATTAGGCGAGGTATATTTCAGACCTCGGTGGATTCAGGATGCAACCAGACCTCTATCCATCAATGCCTGATGCAAAACACAGCATTGGACATGAGCCGCACTGTCTGGGTGAGGTGTGTGCACAGGGATGTAACTCACTCATTGCTAAAAGCCAAGCATATTCAATTTCAGAATCAAAAGCATAGTGTAGAGGGTAGGGGCGTCAAAATTAATTGTTTCTTTGGTGCACCGCGATGCAGACAATGTCAATTTGGTATCGGTTCAGTAATAATCATAACCGGTTATTGTGTACTGACGTCATTTATCGCTATGTCACGGTAGATTACTATTGCGAGGGAGGCGAGGGCGAGTATTTACAACGCTCCAACTACTTAAAAACACAGAATGTGTGCACAATTTCATTGACACAGCAGAAGCTCCTATTTCACTGCGATTGAGAGAATGAAAGTACTCCATTTCTCCCTCTCTCTCTCACTCTCTCACTCACTGTGGGCCCGTTTGACCTGCTGACATGACTTTTCCTCTCCTCTCGGCTGTTTTACAGCGATGGATACAGACACGAGTGCGTGCCTGCAGAGATTTCCCCACCGTGTCTATCATGGATCAGCTGTATCCCCGCCGCTCCCACCTGCCGCTTATCAGTGTCACTCATCTGTGAAGTTCGCAGCGTGCAAGAGCCAATCACAGCTGTTTTTGTTGAGGGTGTGACCAATCAAAGGGGTTTAAGAGAACTTTGTAGACAAGCATCAGAAAGCGAGCTGGATATTATGAACATTACGAAATTAAAGCAACAGTCGAGAGATCTGATCCCCCCAGCAGGTCAGGATGCGCCTGTATAAAGCGGCAGCTAAGGCGCACTCTAGAAAACTGGACTAGTGAATGAAATGAAGGCGATCAGCCTAATTCATGACATGTTTTTGTTTACTAAATCTTTAAATACAACTCTCTTGAGCTCTAAAGAGAAAGAAAATGGAGAAGAAATTTGCCATTAAATTAATTTTAGCAGAGACACAACTGTCATTTTGACATTCGTTTTTCAGTTAGGGGATATGTAGCCTAATAAAAATGTTTAGTTGGACACTGCACAGTCAAACAATAGTCATTTATTCATTTTCTTGTCTGCTTAGTCCCTTTATTAATCCGGGGTCACCACAGCAGAATGAACCACCAACTTATCCAGCAATCCAGCGGATGCCCTTCCAGCCACAACCCATCTCTGGGAAACATCCACACACACATTGACATGCACACACACATTATGGACAATTTAGCCTACCCAATTCACCTGTACAGCATGTCTTTGGACTGTGGGGGAAACCGGAGCACCCGGAGGAAACCCACGCGAACGCAGGGAGAACATCCAAACTTCACACAGAAATGCCAGCTAAGCCGAGGCTCGAACCAGCGACCTTCTAGCTGTGAGGCGACAGCACTACCTACTGCGCCACTGCCTCGCCTCCCACAATAGTCTACACTATAATTAATAATATCTTCATTATATTCATTATTATTAATATTATTAAAATGAACCTATGAAATTGACAAAACGCAGACACATTTTGAATGTTTGCTTTCATTTTCAAATTGCTAAAGCCAATTTTACAGTTGTGAAAAGAAACACCCCCTTATGCAGCAGCAGTCTCAAGTTAGGACACTTTAAAAAATTATTTAAAGATGATCGCCCTGCCAAGTCAAGTTTACAGTGTTATACAGTTGAAGTCAGAATTATTAGCCCCTCTCTGAATTTTAATTTATTTTTTAAATATTCCCCAAATGATGTTTAACAGAGCAAGGAAATTTTTTACAGTATATCTGATAATATTTTTTCTTCTGGAGAAAGTCTTGTTTGTTTTATTTCGGCTAAAATAAAAGCAGTTTTTAATTTTTTGCCAAACCATTTTAAGGTCAATATTATTAGCCCCTTTAAGTTAATTTTTTTTCGATTGTCTTCAGAACAAACCATCGTCATACAATAACTTGCCTGATTACCCTAACCTGATTTACCCTAATTAACCTAGTTAAGCCTTTAAATGTCACTTTAAGCTGTATAGAAGTGTCTTGAAAAAGTCTAGAAAAATATTATTTCCTGTCATCATGACAAAGATAAAATAAATCAGTTATTAGAGATGAGTTATTAAAACTATTATGTTAAGAAATGTGTTGAAATTTTTTTTCTTTCCATTAAAACAGAAATTAGGGGAAAAAATAAACAGAGGGTTAATAATTCTGACTTTAACTGTAAATGAAATAGGTATAGTGCGAGATATAAGTGGATTTGCCGCAGATCAACCTCTCACATGCTCTGCAGGAAGGCTGAATGATAATCTTTAACAAAATATGTAATGTAGACTATACTGATATTTGCTCATGCAAAATTAAACACCAGAACATATACTGTAGACCTATTTTAACAGCTATAAATACAGTTAGCATACAGATTTTTTTTTTACTTGTAGCTCATGGCCCTAAAAATGAAAATGTAACCTGAAAACATTATTAAAAAGGCTTAATAAATAAATGACGATAGACCTAACAGCCTAATAGCTTATGTTAAGGTTTCCAAATGCCAGCTGGACAATCACACACACACACAAAAAAAAAAACCTCACTCATGATAACATAACATAAATCTTTATTTTTACCTTCAAAATGATGAAGTTATATAGCTTATTGAGCAGTGTGTTATGCATGCCAAACTTTAACCAATTTTCAGGATAATAACTGTGAATTTCTTTTTTCAGGTATCTTTTTTTTTAGGTATTTTTCTGGTTACACTAATGCCCTAAAATGTTGCTAAGTACACATTCAGCTACTATTTTTTTAAATGACATTAGATTGTAACATTCTACTTTTTCCTAACAATGATAGCTGATTAGTTGGGCAATAGACGAGATGAAGTGTGATGACTGGATTATGCTGATTTCACTATATTTATTTACTGGTTATATGAATAGCCAATACAATCTCACGGCAATTCGTAACTTTTTCATTTAGTGGCTAATTCGTATGAATTCGTACGATCTAATTCATACAATTTAGTACGATTTGCTTATCCCCCAATGACGGTTGGGGTTAGGGGTGGGGTCAGGTGCCATGCCTCCTTTTTAAAATCGTACCATTTCGTACGACTTAGTCACTAAACTGGCAAAACGTGAAATACTTACGTTTTCTCGTGAGATCAGGCTGGAATAGCGGGTTAGCGTGCTTGTGTGGGCATAGTTTGACGCCTTGACCTAAAACTTTAAACATTTTTACTATTTGAAAAAAAGCAGAAAGAAATAAGGAGAATAAGATAATATAAAGCACTCGTTTAGTGCTGAAGCCATGTCCATCTGCATTAATAAACAGTATGGTTGCATTAACCTTCATTGAAAAAAAAAAAAAAAAATAAAGCAAACCTTTACATATTATTATTACTATAAAAAGTATATTACTGCCTTAAATCAGTAACTTAAGCAGTAACGCCAAGTAATAATAAATAAGTGAATAAACAGCCTAAATGAAAGGAACAAGAGGGACCAAAATCAGCAGGTCTAGTGGCCCCATATAGGATTAAAATTCCCTCTCAGTTATGACATTTTGGCGCCGGGCCTGAAACCATCTCTATTCAAAGTAGAGTCGCACTAGTCACAATTCAGCTGAGTGCACAGTTAAGAGTACTTTGGTGTGCTACATGAGTATTGCAGTATGTAATGTGGATGGCGTATCACTGCTTAACCCTTCAGTTTAAAGGTCTTTACACCTTAAAAATAACCCAATAAAATAATAAAGAATGAATAAAATAATAAATATAGTATTTAGCTTTAAAAATAGAGAAGAAAAAGTATTGAAGATCAAAACAAGCTTGCATTACTATAGCAACTATAAACAGTAGACTGGGAGGATTTCTTATTGTTTATTTCTTTATTTCTTTAACATTTGATTGGGCGGTGAGTGATGCAGACACTGTATAAATGAAAGGACAGAAAGGAGAGCAGAACAAACTCCTAACAGGAGTAGACTCACTCATGGCCTATGAGACAGAGGATCAGGAGACTCAATACTGCTTTCCTGACATCAACTCATCGTGTGTCAAAGGAAAACGCTCCATTCAGGAATATATCATCATGTATGTGTTCTTTTCACTGCTGTCAGTATGGACTGTGTTTCTGAACCTGCTGGTGATCATCTCCATCTCTCACTTCAAGAAGCTTCACACTCCAACCAACATGATTATTCTCTCTCTGGCTGTGGCTGATCTGCTTATTGGCCTTATTGTGATGCCTATAAAGGCCATCAGACAGGTTGAGACATGTTGGTACTTTGGAGACACTTTCTGTGGACTCAATTCAATATTAATTGGGGCAATTTTCTCAGCAACTCTTAGTAATTTAGTTTTAATTGCTGTTGATCGTTATGTTGCTGTGTGTCACCCTTTACTGTACCCACAGAAAATAACCATGGCCAAAATGTTAATGTTTATCTGTCTGTGCTGGATTTACTACTCAGCTTATAACACTGCTGTTGTAATGAATAATAGATATTTTGACACTTCAAACAGAACAGACATGTGTTATGGAGACTGTTCAGTCATAATGAGTTTTGGTTGGATACTCACTGATTTGTTCATGTCTTTTATTCTTCCCTGTCTCATAATGATCAGTTTATATCTGAGGATTTTCTATGTCGTTCATCAGCAAGTGAAGGTTATAAACTCTCTGATGAAGGGTGGTAAATGTGTAACGGAGGGTTCAGTCAAGAGGAAATCTGAGAGTAAAGCTGCTTTGACTTTAGGAATTATTGTGTTAGTTTATCTGCTTTGCTATATCCCATACTACATCTGTGCTTTATCTGTTAACTCCTCCACAACTATAACTGTTTTGGAATGGACTGTTTACACTAACTCAGGTCTGAATCCTCTGGTTTATGCTTTATTTTATCACTGGTTTAAAAAGACAGCTAAACTCATATTAACTTTGAAGATATTTCACCCGGAGTCCTCTCTGATCAATGTTTTTACAGAAAATGAACTGTAATTTAACTGATAATCTCTCATATTAGTAGATGTTATCTCTAAGGAAAAAAAACTGCAGAGACAACATGGTTCCTTTTCTTTCTAACGTCTACATTTATTACACTGTGGGTCATTGGAGATGTTTTGGGGTATATAATGATCACACTAGCGAATCATTGATGCATCAGGCTACTCATTTAATTTGTATTTAGTATGTTTATTTTCCAATCCACTGGTCACACATGAAAGATAAACTCATTGTATCTGAGTCAGTGTTGCATTAATTCAGTGTGTGTGTGTGTGTGTGTGTGTGTGTGTGTGTGTGTGTGTGTGTGTGTGTGTGTGTGTGTGTGTGTGTGTTTACAGTATTTCACACCTTCAATTAAAAGGATCAGTAGAGGATCACCTCTAATAATATTGATAATAATATAAAAAATAAATAAAAACAATCATAATTGGTCCTCAGAGTTGTTACATTATTGATCAGTAAGAGTAAGCAAAGACAGACCAATCCATGCCTGGAGAGAGGCCTACTGTACCAACACTGCCATTTTACAAGCCCACAGTACAATATTACAATAAATGAAATCTAATTTCTAATCTAAGATTAACCTCATGAGGCCCAAAGTGTTTTTACATGCATTTTTTATTTCTCTTTGCTATTTGGGCTTATTAGAACCCAATTAGAATAAAAACATAACTATGATCTTTTGATATGATGTACTTTTAGAGAAAAATGATGTCCATATATGTGGATTTGTGGTCCGAATTTACATAAAACACTTTTTCTTCACTTTTTTTATGCATATATAACATACCTTTTTTTTTAATGTTTGGACTATCAGAGAGTAAAAACAGTTTTTGCCTATTTCGGACGGTTGTAAATAATGTTTGGAACATTTTATATGCTGCAAAACAGTTGCAGGATGACACTGTGTGTCTGTAACTAAAGATCATACATTCAAAGTATTTTAAATAAACACTTAAGAGCTAAAATGTGCTGTCCACGTATGTGGACACTAAGCCCTAGGAGATTATTACCAAAAATACAACTAGTGACCAGGCTCTGATGTGTGTTGTTGACAGAAAACATATCCATAGGCAGAGCTTTCTCCTGATCATGACAGAACAACACTGAAAACCAATTATCATTTGAGGAATGTTTGTTAATTAACAGGATATGTAAGTCTTATGAATATTCATTCATGCATTCATTTTCCTTTGGCTTAGTCCCTTATTTATCAGTGGTTGCCAAAGTGGAATGAACCATCAACTATTCCAGCATATGTTTTACCCAGCAGATGTGCTACCAGCAGCAACTAGTACTATAGGGAACACTCATACACTTAAATTCACACACACTCATACACTACGGCCAATTTAGCTTATTCTGTTCATCTATAGTGCATGTGTTTGGACTGTGGGGGAAACCCGAGCACCTGAAGGAAACCCAGATGAACACAGAGAGAACATGCAAACTCCACACAGAAATGCCACATCAAACATCTTCACCTCTATGATCATCTGAGAGCAGTCATCCAGACGCTGCTGGAACAACATGAAAGATTAAGGTATGGGCAGGCATATATTATGGTCAGGGAACACAGCTGCATGTTATTGATGGCATTTTGTAATGCACAGAGATACTGTGAGAAGATCCTGAGGCCCATTGTTGCGCCATTCATTCAAAAACATCACCGCATGTTTCAAGAATCTGTAGACAATTCCTGGAAGCTGAAAACATCCCAGTTCATTCATGGCCAGCACACTCACCGAACATGTCACCAATTAATTGTTTGGGATGCTGTGAATTGATTTATACAATGACGTGGTTCAGTTTCTGCCAATATCCAGCAACTTCACACAGTCATTGAAGAGCAGTGGACCAACATTCCACAATCAACAGCCAGATAAACTATATGTGAAGGAGATGTGTTGCACTGCGTGAGGCTCATAGTGCTAACACCAGATACTCACTAGCTTTCAAAAGCAAAAGTGCTGTGCTAATATTCTCGTAGAGTGTATTCAATTTTGCACAGTCAGTTTAGTTTGCTTTCATATATTGTATATTTTGACATGTATTTGTTTTATTCATTCATTTGTATTTTGCTTCAATTATGTGTGATTTTTGCTGTTGTGTTGCCTGCTTTTAAAGCACTTTGAGATAGATGTGTGTAAAAATGTTTTATTATTATCAAAATATCTTCAAAATGAGCTACTTAGAAAAAACAAAATGAAGACAGTGGAGTGGCCTAGTTCAAGCCCTGATCTAAATCCCATTGAGACGCTGTGGCATGATCTTAAAAAGGCAGTTCATGCTCAAAAATCCTCCAATGTGGCCGAATTACAACAATTCTGCAAAGATGATCGAGTCAAAATTTCCTCCACAGTGCTGTAACAGAGTCATTGCAAGATACCAAAAAGGCTTGATTGACGTTGTTGCTGCTAGAGATGGCTCAAAGAGCTTTTAGGTTTAGGGGGCAAACACTTTTTCACACAGGGATATGTAGTTTTGTATTTTGTGTTCTCTTAATAATAAAATCGTACTTTTAAAACTGCATGTGTTTACTTGTGTTATATTTGACTAATATTTAAATATGTGTCTGAAAAATGTAAGAGTGAAACATGCCAAAAAACCATTTTCACACCACTGTTAGAGACTTTTCCATACTGTTATTTAAAAGAAGCCAACAAAACTCTGTCATAAATTTTCTGAAATATACAGTGACATACCTTGTCCAGACCTATTTATAAATGGATCTTACAAATCCTCTTTATAAAAAATTCATAACTAATCACTACAACAACTCAACTTATAAATTGCTCTCACACATCATGGACATAATATGGGTTGCATATCACCCACAGTGTCATATCACTTCTGTATGAAGGTCACCTCTTATATCATCCAATAAACCACATAAAACAGATCAATTAATCAATGTAGCATTTACATTTAAAAATAAAGAAGACAAAAACTATATCAAAACAAGCTTTCATTACCATAGCAATTATAAACAGTAGACAGCAGAGGATCTTTTTTTTTCTTTACATCAGAGTGGGCGGTAGATGGGTCGGTCAGTCTGATTCAGACACTGTATAAATGAAAGGACAGAAAGGAGAGCAGAACAAACTCCTAACAGAAGGAGACTCACTCATGGCCTACGAGACAGAGGATCAGGAGACTCAATACTGCTTTCCTAACAATAACTCTTCATGCATCAAGGAACAACGCTCCACTCATGAATACAACATCATGTATGTGTTCTTTTTATTGCTGTCAGCATGGACTGTGTTTCTGAACCTGCTGGTGATCATCTCCATCTCTCACTTCAAGAAGCTTCACACTCCAACCAACATGATTATTCTCTCTCTGGCTGTCGCTGATCTGTTTGTTGGACTTATTGTGATACCTATAGAGGCCATCAAACAGATTGAGAAGTGTTGGTACTTTGGAGACACTTTCTGTGGACTCAATGTAATACTCACTGCTGTGCTTCTCTCAGCATCTCTTAGTAATTTGGTTTTAATTGCTGTTGAACGTTATGTTGCTGTGTGTCACCCTTTACTGTACCCACAGAAAATAACTATCACTAACATATTATTGAGTATCTGTCTGAGCTGGGTTTACTACTCCGCTTATAACACTGTCCTTGTAGTTAATAATGGATATTTTGGCACTTTACACAGAAACAAAGTGTGTTATGGAGAATGTTTAGTCATTATTAGTTTTAGTTGGATGCTCACTGATCTGTTCATGTCTTTTATTTTTACCTGTATCATAATGATCACTTTATATTTGAGGATTTTCTATGTTGTTCATCAGCAAGTGAAGGTTATAAACTCTCTGATGAAGGGTGGTAAATGTGTAACGGAGGGTTCAGTGAAGAGGAAATCTGAGAGTAAAGCTGCTCTGACATTAGGGATAATTGTGTTAGTTTATCTGCTTTGCTATATCCCATATTGCATCTGTTCTGTAACTGTAAACTCTTCCACAACCATAAATGTTTTAATGTGGATTTTGTATGCTAATTCAGGTCTGAATCCTCTGGTTTATGCTATATTTTACCCCTGGTTTAAAAAGACTGTTAAACACATCTTAACTCTGAAAATATTTGAGCCGGCATCCTCTCTGATCAATGTTTTTATTGAAGATGAATTGTAATTGAAGTAGTAAAGCTGTTACTAAGAGGTAGATATTATTATGTGTGATACTATAAATACTGTAAATTAATATATAACATATGATAATAATCACATTTAAACAAGTCAATATTAAACATCACTTTTAAGAATAATAAAAATAAATTGCTAGGGATAATATTGTTCCATTTGTTTCTAACTTCAGCATTTATTTCCACTGTGTGCATGTGGGGCAAAGGAGATGTTTAAGGTAAACAGTAGCTAATCCATGATGTATCAGTCTTGTCATTACATTTTGATTGAGCCATCGAGTTTTTCCAATTCACAGGTCACACATGAAAACTGAAATCATTTTATCCGAAGTAGTATTGCATTGCTTTAGTTGGTTTGTGTGTGTGATTACAATACTTCACACCTTTACTGAGCGGTTCAGTGAAGGATTATGAACAAGAACTATATCAATCACACATGACCAAATCAAAAGAATTGTAGTTGGTCCTCAGAGTTGTTACATCATTGATGTTTTCACTGATCAGTAAAAGTAAACAAAGACAGACCAACCCATGTGACTGCCCAGAGAGAGGCCTACAGTACCAACACTACTAGCCCACAGTACAACATTACAATAAATGAAATCTAATTTCTAATTTAAAATTAACCTCATAAGGCCCAAAGTGTTTTTACGTGCATTTTTTATTTCTCTTTGTTATTTGGGCTTATTAGAAACCAATTAGAATAAAACATAACTATTATTTTTTGATATGATGTACTTTTAGAGAAAAATTATGTCCATATATGTGGACTCGTGGTCTGAATTTACAAAAAACACTTTTTCCTGACTGTTTTATATATATATATATATATATATATATAAATATATATATATATATATATATATATATATATATATATATATATATATATATATATATATATATATATATACATACACTTTTTTTTTTTACATGTTTTGACTATCAGAGAGTGAAAACAGTTTTTGCCCATTTTGGACAGTTGAAAATAATGTTTGGGACATTTCATCTGCTGCAAAACAGTTACAGGATGACACTGTATGTCTGTAACTAAAGATCATACATTCAAAGTATTTTAAATAAACACTTAGGGTTCTATTTTGACGGTCCATGCGCAGGGCGCAAACACTTTCAGGGCGAGTTAGAACGGGTTTTTGCTAATTTAAGGACGGGAAAATCCGCTTTGCGCCATGGCGCATGGTCTAAAAGGGTTGAGTTTATTTTCTTAATGAGTTATAGGTGTGTTTCGAGAATAAACCAATTAGAGTCTCATCTCCCATTCTCTTTAAGAGCCAGCTGCGTCGCGCCAAGAGCGCATTCGCTATTTACAGGACGCAAAGTAAGTCTAAGTGGAAAAAATGAGCATTTCACTAGCAAACAGTTAACAGTTTATTAACAGAACACTGTTAAACAGAGCATCTACTGCGTGAGAATGAGAGATAATGGATCTACTTTCACTTTCGCTCTTGGATAGGGAAACCTTTACACACAGACATCAATTAGTCTATAAATAATTAATTTTGTTTGTTAAGTGCAAATATTCATTTCAAAACTATTTCTAAAATCAGTTCTTATTTCCAGCAAACAAATAAATTAACAATAATAACAAAATGTGCTTAAAAACCTGAGTTATATCCTCAAACACATGCTGTGCCCCATATGGTCTAAAACCTGACAGGTGGGCAAATCTAAGCTTGTTTTTAATAAAACAAATATAAATATGGATATAATAAAAAATACTGCTAATAATAATAACATTATACAAAAGCAAATTGTTATGAATGAACTGAAAAAGCCTCCCGAGATGAAGAAGACATAAAAGCGGTGATTTTTCATATTTATGTAGGCTAGAAAATAATATGTTTTGTAATATTTTAATCCTTTATATTTATATTCTATATCTATTCTTATTATATTCTATATATATCCTTTATATTTAAATTTTTTCATATGTAAAGATATTTGCCTATTGCTCTCTTGTGTGTATTAAGCAGTGTGTAAGCGAGGCTCAACTCTGCGCTGAAGTTTAGACCGGGTTAATTTTGGTCTAATGAAAAATCTATTATAGTTTCTCAAAATAGCAACGCACCAGCGGTCCGCCTCAGAAAGCCTTACTTTTTAGACCAGAACGCCTATGAGCGCACAAATGAGCGCTAATGCATTTGCTATTTAAACAGCGTAGCGCAACGCCTCAAAACCACTCTTGCGCCAAGCTGAAACTACCAAAAGACTATTGCGCCTCGTCTTGCGCCACACTGCGCCGGGTGTATGATAGGGCCCTTAAGAGCTAAACTGTGCTATCCACGTATGTGGACACTAAGCCCTAGGAGATTATTACCAAAAATACAACAAGCGACCAGGCTCTGATGTGTGTTGTTGACAGAAAATATATCCATAGGCAGAGCTTTCTCCTGATCATGACAGAACAACACTGAAAACCAATTATCATTTGAGGAATGTTTGTTAATTAACAGGATATGCAAATCTTATGAATATTCATTCATTCATTCATTTTCCTTTGGCTTAGTCCCTTATTTATCAGCGGTTGCAATCGTGGAATGAACCACCAACTATTCCACCAAATGTTTTACCCAGAAGATGTGCTTCCAGCCGCAACCTGGTAGTGGGGAACACTCATACACCCATTGTTTGCGCCATTCATTCAAAAATATCACCGCATGTTTCAAGGATCTGTAGTCAACTCCTGGAAGCTGAAAACATCCCAGTTCATTCATGGCCAGCACACTCACCGAACATGTCACCAATTAATTGTTTGGGATGCGGTGGATTGATTTATACGATGACGTGGTTCAGATTCTGCCAATATCCAGCAACTTCACACAGTCATTTAAGAGCAGTGAACCAACATTCCACAATCAACAGCCAGATCAACTATATGTGAAGGAGATGTGTTGCACTGCGTGAGGCTCATGCTGCTAACATCAGATACTCACTGGCTTTCAAAAGCAAAAGTGCTGTGCTAATATTCTAGTAGAGTGAATTCAATTTTGCACAGTCAGTTTAGATTGCTTTCATATATTGTATATTTTGAGATGTATTTGTTTTATACATTCATTTGTATTTTGCTTCATTTATGTGTGATTTTTGCTGTTGTGTTGCCTGCTTTTTAAGCACTTTGAGAAAGATGTGTAAAAAATGTTTTATTATTATCAAAATATCTTCAAAATGAGCTACTTAGAAAAAAGAAAGGAAGGCAGTGGAGTGGCCTAGTTCAAGTCTTGATCTAAATCCCATTGAGATGCTGTGGCATGATCTTAAAAAGGCAGTATAAATTGTAAAAAATCCTCCAATGTGGCCGAATTACAACAATTCTGCAAAGATGATCGAGTCACAATTCCTCCACAGTGCTGTAACAGAGTCATTGCAAGATACCAAAAAAGCTTGATTGATGTTGTTGCTGCTAGAGATGGCTCAAAGAGCTTTTAGATTTAGGGAGGCAAACACTTTTTCACACAGGGGTATGTAGTTTTGTATTTTGCTTTCTCTTAATAATAAAATTGTTTACTTGTGTTATATTTGACTAATATTTAAATATGTATTTGAAAAATGTAAGAGTGAAACATGCCAAAAAAAAAAAAAAAACACGTTTTCACACGACTGTTAGAGACTGTTCCATACTGTTATTAAAAAGAAGCCAAGAAAACTATCATAAATCTTCTTAAAATATACAGTATATTAGATCTGTCTGGCATACCTATTTATAAGTGGATCTTAAATATCATCTTCATAAATTAATAACTAATTATTATAACAGTGGCGACGCAGTGGTGCAGTAGGTAGTGCTGTTGCTTCACAGCAAGAAGGTCGCTGGTTCGACCCTTGGCAGGGTATTTCTCCCTGTGCTCTGGTTTCCCCCACAGTTCAAAGACATGAAGTACAGGTGAATTGGGTAGGCTATGAATGAGTGTGTATGAATGATTCCCAGAAATGGGTTGGGGGTGGAAGGGCATCTACTGCATAAAACATATACTAGATAAGTTGGCGGTTCATTCTGTTGTGGCAACCTCTGATTAACAAAGGGACTAAGCTGAAAAGAAAATGAACGAATGAATGTTGTAACCGCTCAACTTATAAATTGCTGTCTCACACAACATGCACATAATGTGGGGTGTGTGTCACCCACAGTTTCACATCACTTCTGTATGAAGGTCACCTCTCATATGATCCATTAAACCACATAAAATGTATCAATTGATAAATGTACTATAGCATTTACCTTAAAAAATAAAGACAAAACAGTTTCAAAACAAGCTTGCATTACCATAGAAATTATAAACATAGACTGGGGGATCTTCTTTTTTTTTTTTTTTTAAACATCAGAGTGGGCGGTGGATGGGTTGGTCAGTCTGATCCAGACACTGTATAAATGAAAGAACAGAAAGGAGAGCAGAACAAACCCCTAACAGGAGAATACTCACTCATGGACTACGAGACAGAGGATCAGGAGACTCAATACTGCTTTCCTGACATCAACTCATCATGTGTTAAGGAACAACGCTCCATTCATGAATATAATATCATGTATGTGTTTTTTTCATTGCTGTCAGCATGGACTGTGTTTCTGAACCTGCTGGTGATCATCTCCATCTCTCACTTCAAGAAGCTTCACACTCCAACCAACATGATTATTCTCTCTCTGTCTTTAAATGATCTGCTTGTTGGGCTTATCGTGATGCCTATACAGGCCATCAGACTGATTGAGACGTGTTGGTATTTTGGACACACTTTCTGTGGAATCAGTTTAATATTAATTGGTGTGATTATATCTGCATCTCTTAGTAATTTGGTTTTAATTGCTGTTGATCGTTATGTGGCTGTGTGTCACCCTTTACTGTACCCACAGAAAATAACCATCTCTAACATGTTGATGAGTATCTGTCTGAGCTGGGTTTACTATTCAGTTTATAACACTGCCCTCATAATTTATAATGGATATTTTGAAACCTCAGAAAGAACAGACGTGTGTTATGGAGACTGTTTAGTTATGATAAGCTTTAGTTGGATAGTCACTGATCTGTTCATATCCTTTTTTTCCCCCTGTGTCATTATGATCACTTTATATGTGAGAATTTTCTATGTCGTTCATCAGCAAGTGAAGGTTATAAACTCTCTGATAAATGGTGGTAGATGTGTAATGGAGAGTTCAGTAAAGAGGAAATCTGAGAGTAAAGCTGCTCTGACTTTAGGGATCATTGTGTCAGTTTATCTGCTGTCCTGGATTCCTTACTGTATCTGTTCTGTAACTGTAAATTCTTCCACAGCTATAACTGTTTTATCATGGACTGTGTATGCTAACTCAGGTCTGAATCCTCTGGTTTATGCTATATTTTACCCCTGGTTCAAAAAGACAGTTAAAAACATCCTGACTTTGAAAATATTTGAGCCGGCATCCTCTCTGGTCAATATTTTTATGGAACATGATCTGTAATTAATCTGCCAATTCTATCAATTACATAAACACAAGATCTCTTAAAACAAAGCAAAAGCAGCAGTGATAACATTGTGGTCACACTTTAATTCGATGGTCCCCTATAGATCTGTTGATGGACCCCTATCTTCTGATCACAAGTTAATTTACAAGTTCATATCTGCTTACTCTCATTGTGGTATCTGCAGATTGTCTTTAAAATGTTTAGGTAGTCATTATAATGCCTACAGCATGTAAACATCTATGTTCAGTAACTCTTTCTTTTGGTAAGTCTTTATTTTGATGGTCCACTTGATTATTAGTAGGCTGTCTGCTTAATATCTGCTGATACTGCTCCTTCAACAGACATTTAACTGACTATAAGAAACTTTGCAAGTGCATGTCAACTTACACTAACCCCAACCTGACAGTCTACTTATAATCTTATGAGAATTAGTTGACATGTAGATGCAAATTTAACTTAAATTAAGTGTTATTTTACTTTAAGGTACATGCATCTGCTCATCAGTCACATTAGGCCCATCCAAATGAAGAGCAAATACAAGAAATGCTGTTGAATGAGCTGACAACATGGACAGCTAACTACAAGCAGATAGTCAACAGACTCTTATTACGTACACTGGTGCAAGCATTTAAACTGGCCCTGTTGTGTCTTGTACTAAATCAAATACTTGCACCAGTGCCAGTACTAAGAGACAATCTGCTAGTACTTTGCTGTCCATGTGGTCTATGATGTTGTTCATAACAATAATTCAACAGCATTTCTTACATTTTCACTTCATTTTGATGAGTCAACAGATTGCCACCAACATAAGCTTACATGACCACCAGTAAAAATAATATTGAAAACCAGTAATAAGTGTCTACGCTCAGATTTGGGTCACATTTTTGTTGATGGTCCGTTTGTTGAGTTTACTGTAGGTTACATTGCATCTACATGCCAACTAATTCTCATTAGATTATAAGTAGACTGTTTGGTTAAGGTTGGGGTGTAAGCTGACATCTACTTGCAAAGTTTCTTATGGTCAGTTTAATGTCTGCTGAAGGAGCAGTATCAGCAGATATTAAGCAGACAGTTTCAAATGGACCATCAAAATTAAGTGTTATCCTGATTTGTGCTACATACAAATCACAAAATTCACAACAAAATACTTAAAACAGATCACAAATTCAGGAAAGTCTTTTATTTAATATGATCTGTAAATCTTATGACTGAAAAACTAAAAATCTGACTAAAAAAACTTTTAACTTTTTTATGGCACATTTTAACTTTTTAAAAACATTTTTAAAACATTTTAACTATTTAATGTTTACAATGGAAATCCAATTAGATTCCCTTATTTGATACCCCAAAGCAAGTCTCTCATCTAATATCTCTACTAAAAGACAGAAAATATTACTGTTATTATTATTTTGTAAATAAATCTTATTAACATTTGCATATTAAACAATAATATTACTGAAACTTATTTAAAAACTGAATAAATATAAATTCACACACATTTACACAAGTATATAAATAGACTTAATGAAGGGCTAAAAATCTGCGGATTTCTGCGTGCGCAGATTCTGTGTGGGCCTACTTATGACTATTTTTACATATATTAAAAAGATTATCTCTGGTCATAATTTGGCTTGATTACTGTTGTGCAAAATGTACTCGCTTCTCCTATGAATAAAATTCACATTCATTTGCTTCCAAAAAAAAAAAAAAAAAATCCCAAAGACTTCTTTGTGTGAGCTTCAAAACAGTTCTGATAATTAATTATTATTATTATTTATTTATTTATTTTAAGTTGGGTGATCTGAAAGCTCTGTTTTTAAATGGGTCTGAAGCAGGCATGTCACACCAACATAATAAATACTTGAACTATGGTACAGATTTGTATTGGCCACTTTAAAACAATGGCATTAAAAGCAAGGCAGTGTTGTGTCTTTAGTCTGACTGTAACAAAAACAAACTAACTAAGTTTGTGTGCAATTGAGATAAATAATGTTCAGATAACACTAGTAAATCAATGTTGTATTAGCCTATTCAGACCATTTTTATTAGGCCATCATAAATATTTTACCAATCCACAGGTCACACATGAAGGCTGACCTCATTGTTCAACATTGAGGCGGTATTGCATCACTTCAGTGCTCTGTGTGTGTTTGTGTGTGTACAGTTTTTCACACCTTTAATGAACAGTTCAGCAGAGGATCATTAAAATCAGCAATATCAATAACACAAAAAAAAACAAATCTATTAATAATCTAATTATAATTGGTCCTTAGAGTTGTTACATCATTGATGTTTTCACTGATCAGTAAGAGTAAACAAAGACAGACCAACCCATGTGACTGCCCAGAGAGAGGCCTACTGTACCAACACTGCCATTTTACAAGCCCACAGCACAACATTACAACAAATTATATCTATATTCTAATTTATGCCCAATGCTGAAAATAATAAACAAGTGACCAGACTTCGATTCGAGTTGTATAATATCCACAGGCAGAGCTTTCTCCAGATCAAGAGTGACAGCAGAACACTTAAAACTGATCACTAATTCAGCAAGGTCTTTTATTTATTAGCATCTGTAAACCTTGAGTTCAGCTGCCAGAGTTCTTACCAGGTCTAGAAAATATGATCATATCACTCCAATTTTATACTCCTTACACTGGCTGCCAGTTAGGTTCCGTATGAAATTTTAAATATTGCTTCTTACCTTTACAGGAGGTCGAGCCTTCTCATTTATGGCTCCTAAACTCTAGAATAGCCTTCCTGATAATGTCAGAGGCTCAGACACACTCTCTCAGTTCAAAACTAGATTAAAAACCTATCTTTTTAGTAAAGCATATACTCAGTGAATCACTTAGCGGTATGCTCCGCGTAGGTTTCCGCATCTTGTTTATATACACTATAAACAGCAGCTACGCTAATTATTCTCTTTATACTCCATTTTCCACCTGGGGATACTCATCCAGAGGCCCTCAGACTATGCAGCACCACTGATTAGATCCAAGACTAGCGACGAGATGATCCCAAGGTTTCCATATCCTGGACCAGGCCGTATCCTGAGCAGCTGCTGTGGTGGTCATGGAGGAGTAAAGAGCACGAAACTGATTTCTGTGACGCTCCAGGGACAGACGAGTCTTCGCTGAGGTCCAGCTTTCCATCCTCCAGCACCTTGACTGCAGCTGTGGACAAGACGTTTGGCCAGAGGAGAAATGGTCGTTTCCAACTAAGCCTGGTTTCTCTCAAGGTTTTTTTAATTCTTTCGCCAATTGGTGAAGTCTTTTCCTCACCCCTGTCGCCACTAGCTTGCATAGTTCGGGATCTGTAGAGCTGCGCATCGCTGGATTTGCTCTTCAGTGTTTGGACTCTCAGTAGTGACTATTAAACCACACTAAACTGAACTTAAACTCTGAAAACTGAACTACACTTTCACTTTACTATGATCTTCTATGTGAAGCTGCTTTGAAACAGTTTACATTGTAAAAGCGCTATACAAATAAAGGTGAATTGAATTGAAAATTGAATCTGCTCTCGTCTGGACCAAAGAAGCTGCATGTAAACACACCAAACGAATGACAGCCGACTGAAATGAGAATATACATTCTGCATCTGCATGACAGGATGTATTTTTCTCTACCTGCAGGTGGCAGCATCTCTATCCACAAAGGGAAACGAGAACAAGTGCTGCACACATACAAACTGTAAACACAGCAGCATTTACATACCACATACACAGTATTTCATGTTCACTACAGAGAGATTTTATTGTGCAAATATAATAATAACAACAACAATCCCTTACATTTATTTAGTGCTTTTCTGGACACTCACTGCGCTTTACACATTTTTTTGGGGGGGGGGGGGGGGGGGGGGGTCTCCTCATCCACCACCAGTGTGCAGCATGCACCTGGATGACGTGACGGCAGCCATTTTGCATCAGACTACACACCACACACCAGCTGATTGGTGAAAAGAAAGAACAGAGTGATGAAGCCAATTATGATATAGGGATGGTTAGGAGGCCATGATGATGGACAGAGGCCAGTGTGAAAATTTGGGCAGGATGCCGGGGTTAAACCCCTACTCTTTTTCGAAGGATATCCTGAGATTTTTTAATGACCACAGAGAGTCAGGACCAGTATAGAGTCCCCATCAATATACTGGGGCATTAGGACTCATGCAAAGCTCAAGTCGAGTGCCCCCTGCTGGCCTCACTAACACCAATTCCGCCAGCAACCTAGCTTTCCCATGTGGTCTCCCATCCAGGTACTGACCGGGCACAGACCTGCTTAGCTTCAGTGGGCGACCATCAGAGTTGCAGGAAGCTAGCTGCCAGGCATAAATATATCTTTATATAAATATTTTTCATGAAATCTATCTGCATTCAAGTGGTAATAAAACATGGTTGAATAGAATGCTTTAGTTGTTCAAAATAAGATGCTCTGCTTTGTCTTTTAATATATAATATTCTGGGGGCCATCATATTTAGGCAAAAATGCTGCTGGTGGCTGGCAAGAAAAGAGTTAATGGGCAAACTGGGAGGATCTTATTTATTTATTTTTTTTAACATCAAAGTGGGCGGTAGATGGGTCGGTCAGTCTGATCCAGACGCTGTATAAATGAAAGGACAGAAAGGAGAGCAGAACAAACTCCTAACAGGAGGAGACTTACTTATGGCCTACGAGACAGAGGATCAGGAGACTCAATACTGCTTTCCTGACATCAACTCATCATGTGTCAAAGGGAGACACTCCAGTCATGGATATATCATCATATATTTGTTTGTGTCATTGCTGTCAGTATGGACTGTGTTTCTGAATCTGCTGGTGATCATCTCCATCTCTCACTTCAAGAAGCTTCACACTCCAACCAACATGATTATTCTCTCTCTGGCTGTAAATGATCTGATAATTGGACTGTTTGTGATACCCATACAGGCCATCAAGCTGATTGAGACGTGTTGGTACTTTGGAGACACTTTTTGTGGACTTTATTTATTTTTAATTTTTGAGCTTCTCTCTGCATCTCTTAGTAATTTGGTTTTAATTGCTGTTGATCGTTATGTGGCTGTGTGTCACCCTTTACTGTACCCACAAAAAATAACCATCACTAAGACATTAATGAGTATCTGTCTGAGCTGGGTTTGCTACTCAGCTTATAACACTGCCCTTATAATTAATAATAGATATTCTGAAACTTCACACAGAACAGATGAGTGTTATGGACGGTGTTTCATCGTGATGAGTTTTAGCTGGCTCGTCGCTGATCTGGTTATGTCTTTTATTTTTCCCTGTCTCATAATGATAACTTTATATCTGATGATTTTCTATGTCGTTCATCAGCAAGTGAAGGTTATGAACTCTCTGATGAAGGGTGGTAAATGTGTAACGGAGGGTTCAGTGAAGAGGAAATCTGAGAGTAAAGCTGCTCTGACTTTAGGAATCATTGTGACCATTTATTTGCTTTGCTATATCCCATACTATATCTGTTCTCTAGTCGTAAACTCTTCCACAGCTATTCATGTTATGTCATGGACTGTGTATGTTAACTCAGGGATGAATCCTCTGGTTTATGCTTTATTTTACCCCTGGTTTAAAAAGACAGCTAAAATCATATTTACTCTGAAAATATTTCAGCCGGCATCCTCTCTGATCAATATTTTTACAGAACTTGACATGTAATTAAACTGGTCATTGTTGCTGCTTGCTCATTATGGTAGATTTTATTATTGATGCTTTAAACACAATTAAATAAAACAATGACATGAACATAAGATCACTTTTCAGAATAATAAAACAAGATTGGTAGTGATAACATTGAGCCATTTGTTTCTGAGTTCTGAGTTCGCTACACTGTGTGTTTATGTTGGTCATTGGAGATAATGTTCAGATAACACTATTGAATCAATGTTGTATTAGACTATTCAGAACACTTTCATTTAGCCATCTTGATTATTTTTCCAATCCACAGGTCACACATGAAAGCTGACATCATTGTTCAACACATTGAGACACAATTGCATCACTTCAGTGCTCTGTGTGTGTTTGTGTGTGTACAATTTTTCACACCTTTAATGAACAGCTCAGCAGAGGATCATTAATATCAGCAATATCAATAACACATGAAAAACAAATCTATTAATAATCTAATTATAATTGGTATTGTTGTTACATCATTGTTGTGATCAACAAGAGTAAACAAAGACAGACCAACCCATGTGACTGCCTGCCTGGAGAGAGGTCTACTGTACCAACACTGCCATTTTACAAGCCCACAGTACAACATTAAAACAAATGGTAACAATATTCTAATTTAAGTTCAATACTGGAAGTAAAAAACAAGTGACCATGCTCTGATGTGTGTTGTATTATATCCACAGGCAGAGCTTTCTCCTGATCAAGAGAACACTGAAGCCCAGTCACTAATTCAGGAAAGTCTTTTCATTATTAAGGTCTGTAAATCATATTAATATGTCCACATCATCACAAATATGAAACCCACAACAAGAATTGTTAAATTTTGTCTGGAAGATGCAGACTCTTCAATGTAGCAGGAGATCTAGATTACAATTGGCTTGTTTCTCTGGCCACAGTGAACTTCCACACTAATATTAACACCTACACCAGCTGTGTCTTTGGACATATTAAAGGACACGTGACCATGTGACCAACCACAAGATATATCAAATGCATCCCAATCAGTAATCCTGGAAGAACAGGGAAGTACGTCTCCAGCTGAAGTCTATAGTTTATTCAGGTCCAATATGAAGAAGGTAAATAAACTGGCTAAATGTAACTACAAGCTGCGTATTAAGGGCAGATTTAAAAGCTTGGTGCATATGGACAGGCATCTATACACTCACAAATTATAAACAAGCAAACACACTTTCCAGCATTAATGTGTGTTCCACCATGAGGAAGGTAAACGCACACAAAGCTGTTGGCCCTGATCACATTCCTTGCTGAGTGCTTATGGCCAGTAAAAAACAGCTAGCAGAAGTCTTCATCAACATTTTTTAATTCAATCCATTTTCCCAACTACTTCACCACAGCCAGCATTATGCCTGTACCAAAACATGCTCAATGACTTCCACCCAGTTGATTTGACTCCTATAACAGCAAAGTGTTAGACAGGCATGTCCTCTCCCATCAGAAAACATGCTTTCCCCCAACACTAGACTCATATCAGTTTGTCTACAAATTCAAAAGGTCAATTGAGGCTACCATCACCTCTCCACTTTGCCCTGACGCATCTGGATAAAACCTACAAATGCGGCATGTCAGAATCCAATTCACTGATTACATCACAGCTGATCTCCAAGCTTTGTGACCTTGGCATTATCCCCTCTCTCTTTAACTGGACCTTTGACTTTCAAACCAACAGGGGAAAATCTGTTAGAATCAGTAACCAAACCTCTAAACCAGGGGTCACCAATAACAGTCCTGGATGGTCGGTGTCTCTGCAGAGTTTAGCTTCAACTTGCCTGAACACACCTGCCTGGAAGTTTCAAGAGTACCTAATATCGGTTTATTACATCTGATGTCAAGCAAAGCAGCTTCCAGATCCAAGCGCTCTATTCAACTGTATGTGGAGGCTCAACAAATGGTTATGATAAACATTTACAAAGCGCTGTATGACTTTCAAACATCATGATTGCAATACATACATAACCATGCCTAATATCAGATGGCCAGAAAGTGATTTTTTTTATGAACTGTTAAAATATTGATATATTAATGCGGCTTAAACCCGGAAATAGTATTCCATATGTCACGACTTTAGTAGATAGAGCTTGACTTACTTGTGCAGGTGTGTTTGATTAAGGTTGGAGCTAAACTCTGCAGGACATGGGCCTTCAGGAACATGTCCTGCTCTTGACCCATGTTCTAAGAACTGGTGTTCAACAGGGGTGTGTGCTGAGCCCATTTCTCTATTTCCTTTTAACCCATGACTGCATACCTGTAATAATAATAACAATAATAATAATACTTTCTTACAATTATATAGGCTTTTCTGGACACTCAACGAGCTTTACACATTGGAGTGAATCTCCTCATCTACCACCAGCATTCACCTGGATGACTCGACGGCAGCCATATTGCGCTAGACCACACACCACACACCAGCTGATTGGTGGAGAGGAGACGAATGATGAAGCCAATTATGATATGGGGATGTTAGGAGGCCATGAAGGACCGAGGTCAGTGGGCAAATTTGGCCAGGATGCCGGGTTGAAACCCCTTACTCTTTTTCGAAGGACATCCTGGGATTTTTTAATGACCACAAAAAGTTAGGACCTCAGTTTAACGTCTCATCCCAAAGATGGCGCTCACTGAGCAGTACAGAGTTCCTTTCAATATACTAGGGTGTTAGGACCCACGCAGACTGCAGGTTTAGTGCTTTAGTGCCCCCCGCTGGCCTCACTAACATCAATTCTGGCAGCAACCTAGCTTTCCCATGTGATCTCCAATCCAAATACTGACCAGGCACAGGCCTGCTTGGCTTCAGTGGGCGACCATTTGAGAGTTGCAGAGAGCTAACTGCTGACAAAGCTAGCTGCCTATACAGTGTTCTGACTTTGCAGATGACACCACAGTAGAGGAGACACACGGTTGAGTAGCTATGATGAGATGCATATGTACATTTACATTACATTTACATTTAGTCATTTAGCAGACGCTTTTATCCAAAGCGACTTACAAATGAGGACAAGGAAGCAATTTACACAATTATAAGAGCAACAATGAATAAGCACTATAGGCAAGTTTTAGGTCTGTAAAGTCTAAGAAAGAAAGTATTAGTAGTATTAGTTTTTTTTTTTTTTTGGTACAGTTAGTGTGATATTCAGAGAGGCAATTGCAGATTAGGAAGTGAAGTGGAGACTAAATAGTTGAGTTTTTAGTCGTTTCTTGAAAATAGCGAGTGACTCTGCTGTTCTGATGCAGTTAGAGAGTTCATTCCACCAACTGGGCAGATTGAACGCGAGCGTTCGCGAAAGTGATTTCTTCCCTCTTTGGGATGGAACCACGAGGCGACGTTCATTCACAGAGCGCAAGTTTCTGGAGGGCACATAGATCTGCAGAAGTGAGAGCAGATAAGAAGGAGCAAAGCCAGAAGTCACTTTGTAGGCAAACATCAGAGCTTTGAATTTGATGCGAGCAGCAACTGGCAGCCAGTGCAAACGGACTAGCAGCGGAGTGACATGTGATCTTTTAGGTTCATTAAAGGCCACTCGTGCTGCTGCGTTCTGGAGCAGTTGAAGAGCCTTGATAGAGTTAGCTGGAAGCCCAGCTAGTAGAGAGTTGGAGTAATCCAGTTTGGAGAGAACAAGAGCTTGAACAAGGAGTTGAGCTGCACGTTCAGATAAGAAGGGTCGGATCTTTCTGAGTAGTATATTGTGGTGAGGGAGGCTTGATGCATGTGTGAGTAGTATTATTATTCTCACACCAGCATCTTGCGTCTCTTGCCATATCATATTAGTGTGGATTAAATGTTATTTTGCTTCTAAAGTAATTATAGCTTATTATACAGGGTGGGCAATTTATATGGATACACCTTATTAAACTTAACTTGGGTTTAATGTAACTTTATTCTTTTATGAGTTATTTACAAGTATCATAAATAAAAAATTTAGCTTTAAAAAAAACTATTCAAAACCAAAACAAGCTTTCAATACCATAAATAATTCAGTGGTTCTCAGAAGAAAAGCTTTTTCTTTTCTTTTTTTTTTCATCATCATCAGAGTGGGCGGTAGATGGGTCGGTCAGCCTGATCCAGACACTGTATAAATGAAAGGACAGAAAGGAGAGCAGAACAAACTCCTAACAGGAGGAGACTCACTCATGGCCTACGAGACAGAGGATCAGGAGACTCAATACTGCTTTCCCAACATCAACACATCATGTGTCAAGGAAAATCGCTCCAAACATGAATACAACGTCTTGTATGTGTTTTTTTCATTGCTGTCAGCATGGACTGTGTTTCTGAACCTGCTGGTGATCATCTCCATCTCTCACTTCAAGAAGCTTCACACTCCAACCAACATGATTATTCTCTCTCTGGCTGTAAATGATCTGCTTATTGGACTTTTTGTGATGCCTGTGGAGGCTGTCAGACTGATTGACAAGTGTTGGTACTTTGGAGACACTTTCTGTGGATTCACTTTAATATTAATTGGGGTGATTCCCTCTGCATCTCTTAGTAATTTAGTTTTAATTGCTGTTGATCGTTATGCGGCCGTGTGTTACCCTTTACTGTACCCACAGAAAATAAGCATGACTAACACTTTAATGAGTATCTGTCTGAGCTGGGTTTACTACTTTGCTTACATCACAGCCCTCGTAATTTATAATAGATATCTTGACACTTCACACAGGACAGATGAATGTTATGGAGAGTGTACAATCATGATGAGTTTTAGTTGGATCATCACTGATCTGTTCATGTGTTTCATTTTTCCCTGTACCATAATGATCACTTTATATTTGAGGATTTTCTATGTCGTTCATCAGCAAGTGAAGGTTATGAACTCTCTGATGAAGGGTGGTAAATGTGTAACAGAGGGTTTAGTGAAGAGAAAATCTGAGAGTAAAGCTGCTCTGACTTTAGGAATCATTGTGTCAGTTTATCTGCTCTGCTGGATTCCTTATTATATTTGTTCTCTAACTGTAATCTCTTCTACAGCTATAAATGTTTTAATATGGGCTGTGTTTGCCAATTCAGGTGTGAATCCTCTAGTTTATGCTTTATTTTACCCCTGGTTTAAAAAGACAGCTAAACTTATCTTGACTCTAAAAATATTTCAGCCGGCATCCTCTCTGATCAATATTTTTACAGAACTTGAATTGTGATTAAACTGGTCATTGTTGCCGCTCACTCACTGTGGTAGATTTTATTATTGATACCATTAAACATTGATTCAAACATACGATTACTTTTAAAAATAATAAAATAAGATTGGCAGTGATAACATGGAGCCTTTTGTATCTAATTTCTGAGTATACTACACTGTGTGTTCATGTTAGACATTGTAGATAAATAATGTTCAGATAACAAGAGTAAATCAATAATGTATTAGCCTATTAAGGTTATTTATATTTAGCCATCTTGATTATTTTTCCAATCCACAGGTCACACATTAAGGCTGACCTCATTGTTTAACACATTGAGGCACTATTGCATCACTTCAGTGCTCTGTGTGTGTTTGTCTGTGTACAATGTTTCACACCTTTAATGAACAGCTCAGCGGAGGATCATTAATATCAGCAATATCAATAACACATGAAAAACAAATCTATTAATAATTTAATTATAATTGGTCCTCAGAGTTGTTTCATCATTGATGTTTTCACTGATCAGTAAGAGTAAACAAAGACAGACCAACCCATGTGACTGCCCAGAGAGAGGCCTACTGTACCAACACTGCCATTTTACAAGCCCACAGTACAACATTACAATAAATGGTAGCAATATTCTAATTTAAGCTTAATGCTGAAAATAATAAACAAGTGACCAGACTCTGATGTGTATTGTATAATATAGACAAGCAGAGCTTTCTCCAGATCAAGAGTGACAGCAGAACATTTAAAACTGATCACTAATTGAGGAAAGTCTTTTATTTATTAAGGTTTTCATTATTAACGGCTTTTATTTATTAGGCTCTGTAAACCTTGTCATGATTGATAGAACTAGATGAAAATGCATGGTATATAATGATGACTTTGTGCTTTAATAAATATATTCAGCCAACAATAAAATGTTTGTCTCACATTCATATACTTCCATGAGCACAAAACACAAAAAGGCAAACACTAAAGACTTTAATGGAATTAAAATTAATTCAGAGTGACGCAGTGTAAAATGTAAAAGTTTCACATTTTAGAGCATTCTGTGAGTTTCAAAAGTATTTTTTTAAGTGAGATGATCTGAATGATCCATTTATAAATGGGTCTGAATCAGGCATGTCACACCAACATAATATATACTATAAACGGTTTGATCTATATGACACAGATTTTTATTTACAGGCCATAACCAGTTACAATGTACTGATGGTTTTTTGACAACATTTCTCATGGTAGCATTTGGCAAGGGAAACCAAATGGTAAGACTTGCATGCGAGTAGCATACTATCCAAAATCCCACAAGAGGAATGTTTCTTTAAATTTATTTAAACAATCCAACAAATCCTGCTATCCAAATACACCACAACCTCAAATTAATAAAACCCATTTAGTTTAGCTGGAAGATGCAGACTGTTCAATATAGCAGGAGATCTAGATTGGAATTGGTTTACTTCTCTGGCCACAGTGGACTCCCACACTGATATTAACACCTACACCAGCTGTGTCTTTGTATATAATAAAGGACGCATGACCATGTGACCAAAAACAAAATATTTCAAATGCATCCCAATCAGTAATCCTGGAAGAACAGGGAAGTACTTCTGCTGAAGGCCTGTGGTTCTGCTTTCAAATCTGCTGATGATGAATATAGTTTATCCAGATCCAATCTGAATTCAACTGGCTAAATGTACAAACTGCATTAAAGACAGATGCAATAGCAATGATCCTTGGTCTACATGAACAGGTATCCATACAATCACAAATTATAGACAAGCAAACACACTTTCCACCATTAATGTGTGTTCCACCATGAGGAAGGAGAACGCACACAAAGCTCTTGGCCTGATGACAGTCCTGGCCGAGTGCTTATGGCCTGTAAAGAACAGCTAGAAGTCTTTATCAACATTTTTACATCTCCTTGTCCCAATCAGTTGTTCCCAACTGCTTTAACACAGCCAGCATTGTGCCTGTACCAAAACATGCTCAATGACATTCACAAAGCCCTGTGATGCTTTCTAACATCATGAGTGCAAGGAAAGAAATTTTCACAGTATTTCCGATAATATTTTTTCTTCTGGAAAAAGTCTTATGTGTTTTATTTCGGCTAGAATAAAAGCAGGTTTAAATTTTTTAGAACTTATTCTAGGGACAAAATTATTAACCCCTTTTAGCTATATATTTTTTCAATAGTCTACAGATCAATACATCATTATACAATAACTTGCCTAATTACCATAATCCTGACTAGTTATTCTAATTAACTTAGTTAAGCCTTTTAATGTCACTTTAACCTGTATAGAAGCGTCTTGAAAAATATGTAGTAAAATATTATTTACCGTCATTATGGCAAAGATAAAATAAATCAGTTATTAGAAATTAGTTATTAAAACTATTATGTCTAGAAATGTGTTGATTAAAACTGCTCTCCGTTAAACAGAAATTAGGGAAAAAAATAAACAGTAAGCTAATAATTCTGACTTTAACTGTATATATATATATATATATATATATATGTATGAAGAGTTCAGATGCAAAAGCCGCTAAATGCCACTTCCGCCAAAAATAAGATGACATTGACTAAAAGCTTTGGGTACGATGTACACCATCAACAAATAGATTTGCTTCAAATCATCTCAATTGCAGCATCAGGCCTGTTCAGAAATAACAGTTTGTTGCCCAAAGCCGCTAAACGCCACTTGCCTTTGACAGAAAAAGCCGCTATATCCAAAGAACCAATCAGAAGAGTCAATTGAATCATGTTTTCAATGTAGCAGCGTGCTGATACGCTGGCTTTTATGAGGAGACTGTTAAATTTCGCTTCCGATTTAGATTTTAAAAGACGGAGTTTGATGATCTGTATGAGCCTGTCCAACTGTCAGAGAATGGCAAATAAAAAAGGTCACTTACCTCAAAACTGTGCATAAAATGAAAAGAAAACACACTGTACAGTCTGAAGTGTAGCATGCATTCATAACGTTTGTTTGCACAGCGGCGCTACTTTGAATGAGTCAGATTTACTATACACTAAACGGCAACTCTATTTCATGAAAGTCAGAGTTAAGATGCCTTTTATCGCACATGGATGCCATGAGGATGAACAATAGATGAACAAGAGACGTGAGAGTGAATTAGAATGAATTGAGTGAAAAGAGTGGTGAGAATGAATAAATGACAACTTCTAAAATTGTCTGATGGACATCCTCTTTTTTCCCAGTATCCCTACCTTGTGTTTTATATGCTAAAATACGTTCTTTTTTAAAAGATAAATATAATGTGTAAAAATATACATTTATATTAGTCTACTTCATATTATCTATACGCCTGATAAGCTTTTTATTTAATGAACAATGCACGGATATTGATGTTTCACAATGTTTTAAACTCCAATATATGAATCTACCAAGCGTAGTTTACAATGTTTACATTAAATCCAAATCCCAAATATCAGACACGACAACAGACTGTTAAGATTTAATTGATGTTTTAATGTTATTGTTAATGTTATTTTAATGTTATTGATTAATGCACTTACTTGACGGATTTTATTCGTTCATTTTCCTTCTGCCTTTTCACTGCGGAATGAACCGCCACTTACTTGACACCACAGTGGAAGAGACAAACATTTGAGTAATATACTATGGCGAGGGCGGTGAGACGTGTATATGAGTAGTATTGTGGTAAGGGAGGAGAGATGTATGTGTGAGTAGTATTATTATTCTCACACCAGCATCTTGCCTCCCTTGCTATAGCATGTTACTGTGGATTACCTGTTATTTTGCTTCTAAAGTAATTATAGCTTATTATATATTGATATGCACTGTGGATGACATACAGTATTGTGGATTTTTAGTGTGGGTCAGTTTAAATGTTGATACATGCCTAATATAACCCACTAAACAACCAATGACCTGATATAATTGTTTACACAAACAGATAAAATCCTAAATAAGACATTCAGCTTTAAAACATGTTTCAAGGTCAAAACAAGCATTCAACTCCACAGATAATTCAGAGTGGACCCTAAAGGAAAAGCTTTTTTCTTTCTTTTTTCTCCGTCATCAGAGTAGGCGGTAGATGGGTCGGTCAGTCTGATCCAGACACTGTATAAATGAAAGGACAGAAAGGAGAACAGAACAAACTCCTAACAGGAGGAGACTCACTCATGGCCTATGAGACAGAGGATCAGGAGACTCAATACTGCTTTCCTGACATCAACTCATCATGTGTCAAGGAGAGACGCTCCAGTCATGGATATATCATCACATATTTGTTTGTGTCATTGCTGTCAGCATGGACTGTGTTTCTGAACCTGCTGGTGATCATCTCCATCTCTCACTTCAAGAAGCTTCACACTCCAACCAACATGATTATTCTCTCTCTGGCTGTAAATGATCTGCTAATTGGACTGTTTGTGATACCGATACAGGCCATTAAGCTGATTGAGACGTGTTGGTACTTTGGAGAAACTTTCTGTGGACTTTATTTGTCATTAATTTTTGAGCTTGCCTCAGCATCTCTTAGTAATTTAGTTTTATTAGCTGTTGATCGATATGTTGCTGTGTGTCACCCTTTACTATACCCACAGAAAATAACCACCACTAAAACATTAATGAGCATCTGTCTGAGCTGGGTTTGCTACTCAGCTTATAACACTGCCCTTATAATTAATAATAGATATTCTGACACTTCGCACAGAACAGATGAGTGTTATGGACGGTGTTTCATTGTGATGAGTTTTAGCTGGCTAGTCACTGATCTGTTCATGTGTTTTATTCTTCCCTGTATCATAATGATCACTTTATATTTAAGGATTTTCTATGTAGTACATCAGCAAGTGAAGGTTATAAACTCTCTGATGAAGGGTGGTAAATGTGTAACAAAGGGTTCAGTGAAGAGGAAATCTGAGAGTAAAGCTGCTCTGACTTTAGGAATCATTGTGACCATATATTTGCTTTGCTATATCCCATACTATATCTGTTCTCTAGTCGTAAACTCTTCCACAGCTATACATGTTATGTCATGGACCATGTATGCTAACTAAGGTCTGAATCCTCTGGTTTATGCTTTATTTTATCCCTGGTTTAAAAAAACAGCTAAACTCATATTTACTCGGAAAATATTTCAG